CATGTCTCTCTCTATCTCTCTCTCTCTCTCTCTCTCTCTCTCTCCCCCACACTGCTATATGCTGCCACATGGCAGCGCCCAGGTTTGGCACCTCTCTCTCTCTCTCTCTCTCTCTCTCTCTCTCTCTCTCTCTCTCTCTCTCGGTCTCTCTGTGTCTGTCTGTCTGTCTGCACACAGGGTCTGTGGACGGAGACAAGTCATGGAGTTCATGGAGTTCACGGCCTACGAGTTCAGGGAGAGTGGGAATGGTTTTTTTTTGTTTTTTTTTCGGCTGATGGGGGTGGTTTTCTATTTTATTGGAGGGTGGGGTTATGGGAGGGTAATCCCCCATAATTTTTCGTTTTTTTGAAGTTTAAAAACGAAAAAAAATGAAACCAGCCAAAATACACATTTTTGTTTGTTATTTTGTAGGTCATTTCGATTTTTTCGTGGTCTGAGGCCACAAGAAAACGAAACAGGCTGTGGGGCTTGAGGCCACTGTCGCTGGGTGAGTCTGGAAAAAAAAAAAAAAAAAAAAACATGGCTCTTTCGTGGTCTTCCCGTTCACCGTTGGGCCGTTCACAGGCGCAGGGCCAAATCACTGGCCGGTCACGGCTCTCTCTCTCTCTCTCTCTCTCTCTCTCTCTCTCTCTCTCTCTCTCTCTCTCTCCCCAACCCAACTGCCAGCTGGCAGCTGCAACCCCTAATTCCGCCGAAACCGGGTGGAGTCCCCCCACGGCACTGTGCGGAGGCCGCTCTACCCGTTCAACTGGGGGTAGAGTGGCGCTCTACAGTTAGAGCGTAGAGCCCCCGCTCTACCCCCAGCCAGACACTCAGATGTTACGCACAAAAATAAACTGATCGACTTTTTTTTTTTTTTTGACTGATCGACTTTTGCCTCAGGGTGACATCGAAGTTCTTTACCAAATTTAAAATAAAAAATAAAACTTACAAATAATTTTCATTTTTATTTTATTATTATTATTTTTTGGCCAGGCCCAAGTGGTCCCCGGCCACTCTGGTACTGGCGGCCAGGTGAAGCCGGTAGGGTCAATCGCCATGTCGCCCTGCATACCGTATTTTTAATTAAGTCGTGTTGGGGACATGGTCTTGTGTTGTCTGATACTGGTTTCTCTGTCCCTACCTATCCTCCTTCTTCTCCTCCCAGTCCTTCCTCTTTTCTCCTGACGTCACCACAATTATTGTCAATTCGTCAGCCATTGCTTGACAACACTGGTAGCCTAGGTCCAGGAAGTATTGTGAAGTACCCCGGCCTTCTTTATTTCTAGTAATGACATTTGAATTTTGATGCCAAAAAAAAAAAAAAAAAAAAAAAGAGCAAACGAAGTAGACAGGAATGAGAAGGGGAACCTTCGTTTTTTTTTCTTTGTCTGTAAAACTCAGAAGAAGAAGGGAATCCTCCCTCCCTGCCCCCTTCCCCCCCCCCGGGGGGTACCCCTCAGTTTCATGTCTACCCCTCATCATTAGGATCCACATTTGGTTGGTGGGGACCACGACCTGCTGCCAGATGCAGCATAAAGATTACTCCTCCCACACTTGCGTACACGTGCAGGCAGCTTTGATTGCTTTCCCTTTCAGGAAACTCGGATACACTGCCGCTCCCGACTGTGAATTAAGGGCCTCATCCCACCCTACTTACGGTAAGTAGAAAAAAGAAACGAAAAAGAAGGGGCCGCAGCATTCGGACCGTGAAAGAAAATTTGTACTCCACCGTCCCGTTATTGCAGGAGATATTACGTGGGTGGCCGCGGCCTTTGTGTGGCTGCGGCCTTTTCTGGACGAACCTGGCCAGGTAACGGGCAAAAAAGATAAAAAAAAGAAAACATAAAAACACCCCATCCTTTTGGGAACAGGGTACAAGCCCGTTCCTTTTCTATTTATGCGTGTCATCCTTGCGCAGGGGCCATGCTATCTTCTCTATATCGTTCCAATTTTAACGGATGTCCCGAAGGACAAGCCCGTTCCTTTTTCGAAAATGGCAAAACGGACCGCCCGACGTTCACGTCCTAAACCGCTTTTTTCACATCCCTCCGTTCACATCGGAGCCCCCGGGCTTCAAGGAACAAGGTGTGATACGCCGAAAATGGATATTTTCCTTACCGTAAGTAGGGTGGGATGAGGCCCTTATACCCTCCCTTCTTTTACGCAATTGCGTCCATCATCAGACTCCATCCCTCTTTACAAAAAAGAAAAAACAAAGATTTTCAAAGAGAAAAAAGGGAGTCGCAAACCGTACCATAGGCAACGAAGTTGAACGAACTACACAAACTCCTCAACGCTTCCATTCTTGTACGTAGATCTATGGATCACAGAAAGATCTATAAGATAGATAGATCTATAGATCTATAAGGTAGATAGAGCTGTCAGATAGATGAAGATATACCAGCACGTGCTGCTCCCCACGAATAGATTGGAGTATTTTGTCCCAAA